TGTGTCTAGTAGTTCCCATTGAGAGAATGGCGCTAGGCATACCGCACCATGACGTCACTGCCGGAAGATGGCAGGAGTAAGGTGTTACTATATTTGGGCAAAAATGGCCGCTCCCAGACTCAGTGATTAATACGAAAACATATAAGTTTGAGGTATAAATAATGATCCAGTGATTATTCCTTGCTGACCCGACTTTTCCTTTAACAGTTTTAATAATCGTCTCAGCCTAACCGCTCCTCTACAGAGCGGCTGGGCATAGACGTTTTTTACATGATGCTTTTTTTTTTTTTTATACTATTTTCAGGCTCTAGCTGCCTTTATTTTGTTATTTTTGAAAGTATGTAGAAAGGAAAGGGGTTACAAGAAAGGGGAGAGACACACAGCAAAGGTCTGCAAGGCCACAACTGGAACCTGCGACAGCCAGTATGTGCCACAACACCACAGCAGCACCCAACATAACGATGCTAATGGTTGAAAGGCGCATACGTTTTTGTTGTGATCAAAACTATTTCAGGTGTGATTCTAGAAGACAGTTCTCATGAGGGAAATGGTTTTACGTTTTAGATTAATGTTGGTAGAAACACTTCCTGTCAACCAGCTGAAAGAACAAAAAAGAACCTGGTGTACCTTCAACCTTTGAGCATCAGCAGGGAATCAGAAATAACGTGGCTGATGGCTTTATGTCTGACCTTTGATCACACAGAAAGATGGCGCCATAGTCCTCCCTGTGGCGAATAACTCTACCGATGGCCTGGTTCACCGCCCTGAAGGCCTGCTGCCTGTACCACTGCTGCCCTGACAAGTACTGATAGAAGAGCGGGTTGAAAGAAATCAGTCTTTAATCTGTCTTTGCTGGATGGAGTTCAGCTGGCAGGTTTCCCTTACCTTTAACCCTGGAGCTTTTTTCCGGCTCATTTCGTCCAAAAACTGCATCTTCAGGATGACTCTGGGGTCAAACTTGGGAGGAAATGGCAGGCCGGTGATGATGACGCCGCGACCAAAGGTGTCAGCAAAATCCAAACCTTCACTGGCCTAAAAAANTCTGGGGTCAAACTTGGGAGGAAATGGCAGGCCGGTGATGATGACGCCGCGACCAAAGGTGTCAGCAAAATCCAAACCTTCACTGGCCTAAAAAAAAAAGGAAAAAAAGCAGAACAAAAATATCAGAAGATAGTTATTTATGTCAATATTAATGAATATATTTATTCCAGTGCTATAAAATCTCTGGGCGTAAAATCAGCTTTGAATAATGGCAAAGTTCATCAGTTTAACCGTTTCTCTACTGGAAGAAGCTACTACTGTTATTAGACTTATATTATTTACAACTTTATTTATCCTTGGTAGGGGTGCACCGATTGCAGTTTTCTGGCCGATTTCCGATCACCAATCTTTAAAAAGTCTGACCTGCCGATTCCGATTTTGGTTGATACCGATTTTATTATTTTTTGCTATAACCAACACTGTGTTACAAGATCGCAATTCACTTTCAATGTTATAATCTTTTCTTGAAAAACATGCCCTTGAACAATAGCCTTGAACCACTATAAACTCGTTTTAACTGCCCATGAGGTAGAGCCTTGACATAGAAATAAATTAAATAATAAATATTAATTAAATAAAACAAACTTAAGACTACAACATTGGTCTTTTGATTTTTTACATTTCAAAAAACAAAACTTCAACAAAAGATCGGAAAAAATATGGAATAGCAACTGATCTTAAGACACTCGCAGAGGTAAATAGATCGGTGGTTAAGATCGGTTTCATATGTATTATATCGGCCGATCACCAATCACCCTAAATTAAGGAAATCGGGGCCGATCGATCGGCCAGCCGATTTATCGGTGCACCCCTAATCCTTGGGATTACTCCTTCAGGGAAATTCTGGTTCCAGTAGCTTATGTAGAGTACAAAGAGTTAAAGCGAGATGCAATTAAAAATACAAATATGACAGACAATATAAAAAGTGTATATAGTACAAAAAAGCATTAAAAAAAACACAGTAATTGAGTTGGATTATTGTCGTTGTACTGCAGAGATGTACTGACCTTATGAATAAGTAAAACAAGTAAAATTCAAAGCATCCTCTCATAGATCAGTGTTTCTGTGTGTGTCTTTCACCGCCTCTAAAACTTCCTGGTCTTACCTACAGACGTGGCTTTTACCCTATTTTTATAAATTGTTTTATATCATCACCTCTGATTGGTTTTAAACTGTTGCCACCTTTGACATAGGGCTCCACCTGATCCTTTCCAGGCTAACATACTGTTAACATGTTAGCCTGGTAGCCATGGTAGAACTTTACTGTACGATCACATCTAATTGATGTTTTATTTGGAGATATATTGTGATTTTCGGCTACCCGTTAAAATATTGATCTTTCAGTTCCTAGTTTAAGTTTTTAAAAACACCATAAACCAATGAGGGGAAAGGGGCTACTGCTGCACCGCTACTTTCATTCAGAGCGGGATAAAAATGTTGAATCAGCCTGAAAACTAAACACCTTTAATTAAAAATGTTTGTTCCAGAGAAGAATAGAAAATTGTTTTTGATATGAGGTTTTCTAAAAATGAAGATTTTCTGAATCCTATTTCTAAATAAATATCAGACCTAAACAAAATCTACAGAACAATTTAGGCGATTTAGAGCTGGTTATAAATAACAAACATTGGAGATTAAATTTACAGGCTGTTTTGCTGATTTTGGTAAAAAGATTCTCATAAATTGTGCAATCTTTTCTTTCTTTACCGTTTGTAGACACCACACAGCTTCCTTCTGCAGCTTCAGATTTTGTTTTATGTTGATATTTAGCTATTTTTCAGATACTAAATAAGAGGAATTTCTTAAGATCATTTCTCAGCTTGAAGGCTACCAAGGTTGAACAAATTCTGATGATTTATTCAATAATCTGATATGAAACTAAAGAACAAACCGGCTCCTCCCCTGAGACAATAAACAGGCTGAGTATTACTGCCATTAGACAGTTTTACAGTCAGACGATGGTGAAGACGATGCCCTCGCTGTCGGCTCACCTTCCCACGACAGACAGCGAAGAAGCTTCCTCCTTTTGATGCTGGATCATTCACTTTGGTATAATAGCCATCAATAACCTTTAAACACACAGAATCAGGATCATTTAGCAGAGGAACCACTGAGGACCTCAGAGCACAGAAACTCAGAACATTGAGTCTCTAAAGCCTTAATGGCAGGACTGGTTAGCAAATGATAGTTAGCTTTAATGTTTTAAATCAAAATTAGATCAATTTCTGATGTGAGGTGGTAAATATTACCCATTTTCCTTAGATAAAAAAAAAAATAAATTAACCAATCTGACTATGATCTGATCAAATTGTCTCTATAAAGAGCCTTGAGACGACATGTGTTGTTACATGAAGCTATAGAAAAAACTACACTGTTGATCATCACTACAAAAAAAAGAAAAGAAAAGAGGCGAGTGGCGGTCTAGTGGGTCCGGCATAGGGCTTGAAATCCTGAGGTATCACAACCTCAGGCTTGAAATCCTGCACAGGTAAATTTCTCCAATGTCAGATCAATAGAGTTGAATTATTATTATTATTCATTGTTTATGCAGCATTCAATGAAAACCGTATTCACCTCATTAAAGGTTCCCTTCCCTTTGGGTTCAACAAACATGGGCTTCATGTTCTCGATGCGGTTGGCGTGTCCGTTAGCCTGGAGAGGAAAACCCAATCAGAACCAAAATGTTTAGCACGCCAACACACCAGGGGCACCGTGGGGAATCTCGTGGATGAACAGGCATCACTTGGCTCCTCCGCACACAGAAGTGATGAAGGCCGGGAGACTGCTGACCTTCAGCTGATCAGTGTTGATGTTTCTGAACAGAACCGACCTGAAAAGGAAGGCCGGGTTCTGACCCACTAGGCACCGACCAGAGGCTACTGGCATCAAGTGGCTTGATAGAAAAGATTAGAACCAGATATTCTGATACACATCTGGTGCCCCTGGTGTGCGGAAACAAAATCCTGTTTAACTATAAATAATTAATCCAATAGCTTTGGAGCAAAAAAAAAAAAAAAAAAAAAGTTTTCTACCAGGAGACTTTTGACTCACTCTCCAAAACTCCAGAGTTTTTTCCATCAAAGGGAAGGAAGGAAAAAACACTAAGAGGCCATGAGGAACCACACGACTGAGGTTAGCTGAGAACAAAACAGAGAAAACATTAAACAGAGAATCAGACGGAAATAACATCTTTATCTGCATTTCTAATCAATATTTCCTAAACCTTTCAGCCTTGATGTCAACTATCACTACATAACGGTGGATATTGGATGACAATATTGATTTCTGAAGAAATAAAACATAAAAGAAAAGAGAAATTAATAAAGAACATAATTTGTTTCTGATTGTTCTTCTCAGATAAACATAACCCAGGCAGCTGAGAAGATCGGACTGAAGAAATGATTCACAAGAAGAGGAAAGAAACTTCCTACAGAAAACAAACTGTAGAAATGAAGAGGAACAGAATAAGGGCAAACTAATGGACCACCTTGGTCTGCTGGATCCAGGAACATCTAGACAGGCTCAGACAAAGCAGTGACAGGCTGGTTCAGATCAGATCTATCTGATAGATTCTGGTTTCTGTATGATTAAATTTGCCTGCTCCAGCTGACCTATGTTCTACCACACTGGTTCATTAACTCAATGCAGAAGAAAATCTAAAACTGTTGTCAGAGTTCTTATGAAAGTTAAAAACAGAGATCATATCTCTCCTTTCCTGGCTTCTCTTCATTGGCTTCCTGTTAAATCCAGAATAAAATTTAAAGTCCTCCTCCTCACATATAAAGCCTTAAATGGCCAAGCTCCATCTTATATCAGAGATCTGATTGTTCCTTATGTTCCTAACAGAACACTTCGCTCTCAATCTGCAGGTTTACTAGTGGTTCCTAGAATTTCTAAAATTAGAATCGGAGGCAGATCCTGTGGAACCAACTACCAGACTGCTGAAGGACACATAGGGACCCCTTTTCATCATTCTGCTTCATTCTTCCTTCTGCAGTATTTCTTAGCTTAATTTCTAACAGTCTGCTCTCTCTGCTTTTTCTCTTAATTCAATTCAATTTCAATTCAGTTTATTTATATGGCGCCAATTCACAACACAAGTCATCTCAAGGCACTTTACAGGCGACCAAGGTTGAACAAATTGTGATGACATCTCAAAGATGACATCTCAAGGCACTTTACAGTTCAGTCTTAGTAGCTTAATCTGGTCTGTTCCTGCTTGGCTGTGACTCCATCCTGGAGAGAAATATCAGCTGTGCTGCTTCCATCAACACCTTTGTTTATAGATGTTGGAGATCGGTCTATTTTTCAGTGTAGTCCTGTTTCTCTGACTGTGACTGGCTGGATGTGCTCTCTTCATCCTCTGACATGGGAGCTGGCTCGGAGCTCGTCTTCCTGGCTGTGTGTTTCCTGGACGGGGCCGCCTGTGGAGCAGGTTGACAAGTTCCTTTTTATCTCTGCTTCTCTTCTTTTGTCTCCTCGAACCCCGGTCGGCCTCAGCAGATGGCCACTCATACTGTGCTTGGTTCTGCTCCAGTTTTCTTCCTGTTAAAATGGAGTTTTTCCTCTCCACTGTTGCTACATGCAGGCTTGATGTGAGGGATTGCCTTCGAGTCAAGGTTTTGATGCAATCAGCTGATTTTCCTTAGATAGAAAACATTGAACCAATCTGATTATGATCGGTTTGAATTGTTTCTGTAAAGTGCCCTGAGATGATATGTGTTGTGAATTGGAGCTATATAAATAAACCGATTGAAGTTTTAAATGACCAAACTTCATCTTAACCAATTGTTCCTAAAACGACACTTTGTTCTCAGACTGAGGACTCCGGGTGGTTCTAACTGTGGAGTGGGAGACAGATCTTTATTTATCAGGCTCCTCTCCTGTGGAACCAACCACCAGTTTAAGGCCCTGTCTACTTTAAGATCAGATTTAAAACCTTCTATAGACCTGAATGAGTCAGAATGAAGATTCATCTTTGAACAGCAGCAGCATTCGTGATGCTTCAGTTAGAGGAGAAATAAATGTGTAAAGAGGAACCATGTAGGAAGCTGTTACTCACCCACCGTGTTCCCTAAAGATGCCATGTTATCAGGGTCAAACCTTCCAAAGAGAAGACCAACATCAACATAACATAACACATGCACGGGTTTAATGAATGGGTGAAAAAAAACAGAGGAATTTAATTATTTTGTAAATAATTTCTAATAATTCATCATCTTAAGAATATAATTCTTGCTTTTTCCTAATTTATTAACTTGATTTGTAGTTACTGCAACATTTAATTTCCCTTTAATAAATTAATAAAGTCATTATGAGTTAAATAAAATTTTAGCCCCTCTTCAGCCCCCTTAACATCAACAATTGGTGGAAACAGCTCCTTACTGGAGTGTTTCTATTGAGATAAATGCTAGCATTTCTTGAGATATTTAAACTGGCCCGGAATATTTTAACCCCTGTGAGAAGAACAGGAGAGAACAATGTAAATAAGACGTGCCCATGAGGAGAAAGTTTACCTTCGATCAAATGCTGAACTCAGAAAAACTCCATCAGGGCCTCGGTCAACAACACTCACAAAGATCTGGTCCCGGTCGATCACATGACCATTTTCAAGAAGCACAGGAAAATTTCTGAAGCAAATGAAAAGAACTGCATCAGTCAGAGACAAAAGGTCAAACAGCTGTTGAGACGACGTGAAACCAAACAGTACTTGAACTGTTCATAGAAATCAAACGGTTTTGGTTCCAGTATTTAGCTGAAATGGTCTAAAAATCATTTCACCTCTGGTTATTTTACATCTTAAGCCACTAAAGTTTGCTGACAGGAATCTTACATCTGCATCTCTGAGGTGAAGGAGGTCAGAGGGGAGAGGGTACCGCTGGTTAGAATAATGCAGCGAACACCTTGTTTCTTTAGATCCTGCATGCTGAATCCAGGGGAGAAGCACCAGTAACTCAGGATGTTGCCTACAGCACAGACAGAAGCGGTTCCTTCATTTCATGTGATTCACATAAGTTCATTCATACCATAGACAGCTAAGAGAAAGACGCTAACAGCAAACTGAAGCACACAAAGCCTTTTTCCCCATTGAAAATAGCGGGTTAATGTGTTTTTCAAACATGAGTCGACCCGATAACAATTAGCATTTAGCTCCCTTCACACTGGCAATAAATGCTAACCCCTCACTCGCAGCTGCATGGTCTCTGTTTCCCTGTGGCTGAGAGTCTAGTGACACTATCAGGCAGGATTAGCGTTGATGATGTCACCAGTGCGACAGAAATCAGGACAGTAAACAATGGAGAGCAACATGCAAGGAAGTCAGGGCGTAGTCAGTGTCCTTTATTGTTTTGCCGTTTTTTTTTGTGATCAATTTTTTTATTGTTTTTTCTGCATTTTGTACACTAGAGGAGGAACAAGTGCACCAACCACAAGTAGTAAAAATTTTGTAAAGTGTATATAAATTTGTGTAATCAATAATAGAACCACCCTTCCTCCCCACCCATGTCTACACTCCCCAGCCCCTGCCCTCATTTCCACCCTACCCACCCAGTGATGTCAAGGCATTAAAGAAATAGCAACAATAATAATAAAAAATTATAGTAAGAAATGAAAATAAAGTGGAAATAAAGTAAATAAAAAAAATAAAATAAAAAATTTTTTTTCGCTGTTTTATCTGTCCAAATCCCTCTCACCAGGGCTGCTCCATGTTTATTGAATGTAAAGAGAGTCATTTCGGCTTGTTAGATCAGACTCGACTGGCTTGGTGCATTGCGTTTAATGGTACCACGTAATTTGGTGGGTCAACCAGCTCTGGCGTTCCAACAGCATGCTGATCAGAGCCGAGGCAATTTTAAAGCAGGTTGCTTGCTGAGTGGTTTGACCTGGTTAGACACGCGTCACTGAGCTTTTCCCACTGCCACTAAAAGCCGATTGTTCCCGGGTTTAAACGGGTCTTTCGGCCAGTGGGAAAGGGATAAATGGTTTCAAGTCTTGTGTTACTTATTTTCCACCAAGCAGCCAGAACTTCTTTTGATATTTCAAATAAATCTTCAATAGATGGTTTCCAGACTTTTAAAGATGTTCTTTGGAGTTTAGCTTAAACCTTTGCTCTTTGTGTCTCTCTTCCTCCATCTGGTTTCCCCTGCTCTGCCCCACATTCAGTCCCTCCCTCCCGCTTCAAACTCTTCTAAAAATGTGGAGGTTTTTTTGTTTGTTTTTTTACTTTTAGGGTTAAATATTACAGAAACTTTTGTTGCCTTCAATAAAAAAGTTCAGACCCGTCACACAAATGTAGCTATTTCAGAGTTTTCTGGCTTCATGGCAGCCTGTCACAAGATTCAATCAAATGATAAGGTGAACAAAATGGGGTCTGAGTTTATGATCGCAAAACAACACAAGAACTGTTTATTACAAATTAAAATCGGTGTGATCTGTTAGATTCCAAATGCAAAGGAAACTGAATGTGTGATGGGTTTTTAGACTGAAGCAGCTACTAGAGACCATCGGTCGGTGCTCCCCTCCAACACGCATTGCAGTTTTAGATCCGTTTTTTTTCCATGTTTGGGTGTCCAGACCCTCCCTGGTGATTTCTGCTTATGCTACAGACTGATTTCTATTTTTGGCTTAAAAAAGGAAAAAAAAAAACAAAGAACCTGGGGGACATTTAACCTATAGACACACAGCATCAGCAGAACTAAAACACCCTGGAACATGATTGATGATCCCCTTCAAAAAGTTCAAACATTTTAATTGTTAAAAAATAAAAAGCATCAGTTAGGATCATGAACATAAATTGACGGTTTTTTTATGAGTACCTTGTTTTTTTGATGACGATGCAGACCACAAATCAGAGGTCTGTTTTTTTTTCTGGAAGCTGTTATCACGGTGGATGTGAACCTAAAGACCATCACACCAAATGTTAGCTTAAGATTAGGCTTAGCAATAACAGGACTCAAATAAACTGAAAGGAATCGTCCATCAGTTTTAAGATATTACATGAGTATGATTAGTGTAGAAAGAAATAAATAAAAATGACATGTTGAAAAAAAGCAGATGTTGGTTTGTTATGAACAGACCTTGAAATGGGCGGTGTTGAACTCCCTCTGCTTTTGTTTGTCCTTATCAGAGCTTTCTCCCACGAATACCAACTAAAAGACCAGAACAGAAAGAAAAGTCACTGCTGCTCTACAGTAAACTGTAGGATAATCGCACACAGACAGCATGTCAGCGACATGATTAAAAGAAGCGGATTAGATAAGAGGGGTGACGAGAAATGGGAGCTTAAAGACAAGTTACTGGGACCAAAAACAATAAGCGTCTTCATTCTTTATAAGAGAAATTGAAAAATATTGCTAATCTGAGCAGGAAGAGGAATCCCCCATTGTGAGCAGCGCTTCATTCATTGCCTTTTAGAAAAAAAATAGTTTTAATCAGTGGAACAGAGAAGGTAGGCTTCCTATGTGACACAGAGAGAAAAATCTTCCAACCTCTGATTTTTTCATGCTGTGACCAAAACCTCATGGTAGAAGCAAGGTTTGGAGGATTGGACTGATTAGAAACTGGACAGCTAGCTGGAAAGAAGCTGCCTAAAATACATATTTGACCTGAGTGAAGTTGGCCCCCCCACCTTCTTCAAATCAGACAAAATTAGCGTCAAACGTTTGTGCTGGTTTGTGCAGCAAAAAGTTTCCTTTTGTGCTGCTTTGGACTTGAAGATTTGAAGAAGGTGGGGGGGTCGGTTGACCTTTGATGACCTCTGGAAATATTTCTTTATATCTTTAAAACGATAGCGGCACAAACGAAGATTATTGCTGCACAAACCAGCACAAACGTAGCACAAACGTTTGACACCAATTTTGAGTAATTTGAAGAAGGTGGGGGGGCTGGTTGACCTTTTGACCTTTACATTTTGATTAATATCTTCAAATCCAAAGCAGCACAAACTAAAATTATTGCTGCACAAACCAGCACAAACGGAGTTAATTGACACCCATTTCGTCTGATTTGAAGAAGATGGGGGGGCTGGTTGACCTTTGATGACCTCTAGAGATATTTCTTTATATCTTTAAAACGATAGAGGCACAAACGAAAATTATTGCTGCACAAACCAGCACCAGCTAAATGGAGAGGGGAAAATAAAAGGAAAACAACTGCATACATTTAATAAAAATAGAAAATGAAAATAGGAGAATTACATTTTAATGTTTGATAGGTAAATTACTGTACAATCAGATTTATAAACTATGACTTTTAAATCTCCACATAAAAATAGGGTTTGAGAATACATTTTCAAATTGCAGTATTTAATGATAGATAAAAAAAAAAAGTATTAAAAAGTAAAAATTTCTCTAATAATTAATTTAAAATGTGCAAAAAAGGGGGAGTATTGGCCTAGTGGGTAGAGCAGTGAGCTTGTGCTCTGAGAAGGTTGCAAGTACCCGGTTCGATCCCCACTGCCTCCAATCTGGGTCACTGAGCAAGACCCTTAACCCCACACTGCTCCCTGGGTGCCACACAATGGCAGCCCACTGCTCCCCAAAGGGGATGGGTTAAATGCAGAGTGAATTTCCCTATTGTGTGACAATAAAGGGATTTACAAATACAAAACTATTGAAATTGGTTCTCTAATCATATGATTCAAATAATACATTGAAAGACGTTTCATTTTTTTTAATTTTTTTTTTTAAATGACCATTCTTGTCCTCCATATTTTCCATTGACTCCTTCGTGCATCTCACCTGAATAATATCAACCAGCTTCTGTAGCCCCGCTGTACTGAGAAATATTCCTGGCTCTGGTGAAAAACATACGGATGGTTAAAAAAAGGTAATGGCACAAATATAACTTATTCAAATTATACGTTAAAGCCCAGAAATACAACAAAGTCCAAAGCAGATAAAGCAACAAAATGAGAATATTTGGTCATATTTACTTCCGGCAAAGTGTCCGATGATCTGCTCCAGAGCTTCGAGGACGTCTGTCTTGGTGTGTTCGGTCAGATATGCTTTCTCCAGCAGCTCATAGATGAAGCTGACAGAAAGAAGGACACACACACGTCTGTGCTTAGTCTAACGCAGTTTTGTAGGGTGTGATCTACTAAGGGTTTAGTTCATATTAAATAATTAAATTAGAAGGCATTGCATTTAATGAGCATGCCTTTATGAATAGAACATATGCTGATCATCAGAACGAGCAAAACAGTGGGAGAAAGCAGTTTCATTGACTTTAACCGACAGTAAGAGAGGTTTGTGTTGACTGATTATCACCAACAGGAGACTTTGGGGCCCTGGTTCTGTCAGACCAGCATACCCATAGTCCTAGTTTATCCTTTTAGTGTATCCCTTTAGTTTTGCAAGAAAAAAACTATTTAAGTACTTAGTTTTTGGTGTTTTTTGAAGCTTATGGCGATCTGACCTTAAATTGCTTCTTTATACATAACTAAAGGGACACACGCCGGTCAAGGTAGTTTAAAGTCTATTTTTCATACAAAACCAAAGGGATAAATGCAAATCTGACGTCTTGCACATGCATATTGACTATAGGTATGCTGGTCTGATGGTGTATGCTAATCTGACAGAACACCGCCACAAACAGTCATGTTCTAATGGAATCCTTATAGAATAAAATGTAGGTTATGAGCGCCATCACAGAATGAAAATTCACAATCAGAGTTAACTCCTCTCTAGTCATTCACTTACTGCACTGTTTACAAGCCTCGACTCGTTCCTAAACTACTTCTAATAATTCCGGTTATTAGTCTTAGAACATTAAAAAAAAAACCTTCTAACAAACAGAAAATGTGATTTTATTTATAAGGAAAGCTTTCTGAAATCTACTTTTTTACCTGTTATTATTCATTCATATATCAAATATGGACAGTGAAACACACAGGGATAAAGCCAATGTGTTGTTTGAGGTGTTTGGGCAAACATGCTAATTTTTATCACCAATGTCTATAATATTATTTTCTAAATGCAAACTGCACATTTTAAGACCTTTTAAAAAATGACTAAAACCTCATGACAACCACTGGAGGGCAGATCCACTAAAAGCAGACAGGACAATCTGCCTCTTTGGAACAAAATATGAAGGAATGCATTTTTTAAAGGCTCTGCTCCTTTGATAGAATTAAAATAATATTGAGCAGATTATGTTGTAAAACGTACATTCCAGGTTTGGTGATGCCTTTTTCACTTGGAACGTCATATGAATCGATGGCAGCTTCCAGATCCAGCAGAATTTCTGTTCAAGCAGACAGAACATCTCACTTATTAATAATAAAACATGATCCTATATTTTGATAAATAATGTTGCTCAGAAGGAATACTCACGTTTGATTTTAGCAATAGTGGTTATGTTTAATTTTGAGCCTGAAAAAAAGATAGAAATGAAAAGAAAATGTTTACCTTTTTATCTATTCCCAATCCAGATCCATAATTGAAAAAGAAGATATGAGACACTAGGAAAGGCTCGTATCGATACCCAGAAAAATATTTAACACTTGATGTCATTTTCTACACCATAGAGATAAAACATTTTAATAATTAAAGGCATAAAAAATACTTTTCAGATGAAAAATCTTGCTGGAAAAATAAAAATAAGAGATGTTAATATTCAATTCAGTTCAGGTTATTTAAATACTGTCAGTTCACAACATACTAAGGCACATTACAGAGACAATTCTGTCAGAGTGGGAAAACCATCAATAAGTGTGTGAATTCATGGGAAATAAAGAACCCAAATATAATCTGCCAAAATGTTAAGGTCATGTGAGGAATTATTGTTTTAATAAACAAATAATCCAGAAAATTAACAGTAGCAAAATTCTGCAAACAGACCCTGTCTTTAGCACCGATGTTACACTAGTTCTGTCAGTGAGCCAGAGAACCATCAGAGGTCTGACCTGAGCTCAGGGACTCTACGTTGAAATCTTCATTGATGGAGCCTCCTTGGCTGACTTCGTTAGCCTCCTCCGTCAGGAGCCGGTCTACGGCCGTAATGGCAGATGCAACGTCATACGGAGTCAAGTCAAAGGATGTTGATTCTTCACACGTCTTCTCCTGCAGAGATCAGAGAGAAAAAGCCCATAACTTACTCCGCTTGTTTGGTGAAGCATTCAATTTGTCATCTTTTTTTATTTTATCTAATAGTTTCTGCAGGCAGAACATCTGGTTACACCGTCTCTAAAGATACAAGTCAACGGCTATAAACCATCACTGTCTGTAGCATCGAGCATTTTGTCTTACCATGAGTCCCTCTCTCAGTCAAAGGTGTTGATGATTGTCCAAAAGTGGAACGTACAATAACTGACTATAAAATAAAAAAATGACTTAATCTGAGCATTTAATTCTTTGGCATTTTATGCTTTCCATCGCAAATTAAAAAAACAACAGAAATGTGTTACCTGGAAGTTAATAAGAAACTGAAATAATAACAAAAATTCCTCTGAGTAACTCCCCCATAATTACATATAAACTTGAGGAATTTGGAACAAAATATACTGAATAAAAAAAATATATTCAGACTGAGTGAATTAGTGTTACTCTGTATTCATAAAGACACCTAAAATGCTTTGATGAGCTCCTATAGCTCAGTGAGGAAAACAGCTGATCCCAGGCTGTTCTTTCCTTCTAGGCTGTTCTTCTACCTCGTTTTAGTGAACTCAAACATATTAGAAAACTTACTTTTTGGTTGACAAATTGGGTCCTCACAAAGCAAAACAGATGACAGCCCTATTTTATTTTAACTACCTAAGAAATATATATATAAAAAAATATATAAAATAAATATATAAAAATATTTTCCTGTAATGCACTCGTGGACCACTAGGGGTAGGCGTGCCCTCGGTTGGGAATCACTAGCATAAAAGATCAAACGCTGCTGTGAAATAATGTAGCATTTGCTGCAAACCCTATTAAAACGATCAGAGCAGCCAAGCTAAGCTGAAACAGACTAACTGGATGAGCTGAAGCGCCTAACTTTTCCCTAAAGGTCCCTTCCACAACTTTCAGTGGAATAATAACCACTATTTAAAGAGACACTCAACTACATGATGGCACTGCTCCAGTAAACCAGTCAAACTGGTAACAAGTTAAATCTGCTGGAGAACAGAAAAGCCTAAAGAGTGGAAACATGAAGCTAAACCTCAAACGAATGAAGTTCACAGACAGAAAAACTTCAGTTTATTTGCTCAGAATAATGTTTCTCCTTCGTGTTTTAACATTTTTATCATCAATAGTAACAGGTACATTTAAGGGGAAATTTTTGCAAGAAAAAGACCATAGCAATCATTCTTTTTAAGAACTCAACAATAATATGAATAATTACCAAAATATTAAAACTTAAAATTCAGAATAAATGAACAAAAAGGACAAAGCATCCAAAATTATTTTACACCATCAAAATTCTATTAGCTTCTCATTATTTTTAGCACTAGTGACAGTTATCTGAAATTCTTCTGCCAAATGTTTGTGTTCATGCATTTTCCCTCTTGGACTTTCTAATCTGAATACATAACAATTTAAATTAAACAAACTTGTCTGGTTCACAGTCGAAATTCAAAGTCAAATTCCTTGTTAGTGCACAGAATCGCATCCAATTAAACTGGTTCTGATTCTGTGCATGAAGAGGTGAAGCGCTAAAATGACCAGCACAGAAAACCCCTCATCATCTTTTCTGTTATCAATAAGGAAGATGATAATCTCAGTAAACATAAAAAAAAATTTGACCCTGACAGAAGCGGACAAGCTAGAACCACCGGGACCCATCAGAACCTAAAGAAATTGAACCCAAAATGCCCTAAACTAAAAAGAGCTGCTAATGAGTTCAGGTCAACATGGACATGATCCTAGCTTAAATGATGAGTCTGCATACAGAACAAGACGGTTCAGACGGTTAGAACCACATGTTGCTTAATGTGATCATCACTGTGGATTTGCTGAGCGACCTCCAGAGAAAGCTCCTTTGTCCGCCATTCATAGCATCCGGATCGATCAACAGATTCAGGAGAAGGAAACAGATCTTACCACATTGTGAGCTTCATCGAAAATGACCACAGCTCCATTCAGCTCGATATTGTGCGCCCTGCGGCTCTGTGGAACAAAGAGAAACAACATTCCTTCACTGCTTTCCGGAAAAAAACGTTCTTTTGTTGAGCTTTAAAACCGTGATGTACGACCCACGTATTGTGTACTTGGGCTTGCTGGAGAGTGAAGAGATACGCAGGAAAGACCTCAAAATCTTGATAGTGGCAGCTAAAAAGGCCATTACCAGGAAATGGTTCAAAAGTGACCCTCCACACCTGAT